CACCCGCCATGCGCACTTTACGACGAAGTTTCGTGGCAAGGGTCTTTCGGACGTCTACAAGATCCACGCATCTTCTTTTTTCAAGTACCACGGCACTATCCATGCAGGATCTTGCCGTTGTCCTGTTCCCCCAAGGTACAAGAGTAAACTAGGTGCGCCCCGTGGATGTCAAGTCTCGAATCAAGGACAGATACCCGGGGCAAAGCGGAACTGCATGAAGATGCCAAGGCCGAGTCAGTGCCAGAAGGAACTGCATAATCGATAGCAGTCTCACTGGTCAAGTGTAGACGCCTCCTTTGTCAAACCTTATATCGTGAGGCGCGTTTGTAGATCGACGTTGATACGCGGCGGCTCATCTTTCCCGGGGGTCAAGGACTTCCGGATTCGCCTAGTTTCCTGCAACTAACAGACCAGTACGGTAGGGTTTGAGGGTGTTTTTCAACTTCAAATGTCCCGACTCAGACCCATCCAGGTTGCTTGAACCACGTGCGACGCGATCCATGGGCACGAACGAGGCGGAGCCCATCGTGATACCAAACTTGTAACGGTGCCAACGACCCCAAACACTCTGGCATGAGGCGAGATGCCTGTCAAGAATACCTGCCGAGCTACGTAGACTCGGTATTATCCAAAGCTTCCGTCCGGCGTCATTTAATACAAAACGCCCCCAGCATCCTCCCACGTCTGTCAACACTATCCATCTCAACAGCCTTTTCTCTCCATCTTTCGACATCAGCAAAGTATAGCCGGTCTATACCATACGACAAGAAATACCCCTTATACAACAAGCATCTTCTATACTCAAAGACCCTCGAACAACCCTCGACACGTTTCACAATGGTTCGCATCTACAACTTGGCTCTTATTGCTCGTATGTTTCTGACTTGGTCCTACCGTATCCCACATTTTCTGTCTGCTGACTTCCCCCGAAATAGTGAGTGCGTCTGCCCTGGCGGCAACTACTTACAATGAGCGTCGCGCGGTCGACGACGTCGGCGAGTTCGACCTTGCCGGTCGATCCGCGCCCCTGATGGACTTTGACAAGCGCGAGGACAGCAAGATAGCGGAAGCCAGGAAGGAAATGAAGGCCGCCAACCAGGCGGCCAACGCCGCCATTCCTGAGGATGCCAAGAACAAGGTACAGGAAGCCAGGAAGAACCTGAAGGACGCCAATGACGCGGCAAGGGCCGCTATTCCTGAGGACGCCAAGAACAAGGTAGAGGAAGCCAAGAAGAACCTGAAGGACGCCAGCGACGCGGCCAAGGCTGCCATTCCCGAGGATGCCAAGAAGAAGGTAGACGAGGCCAGGAAGAGCATGCAGGACGCCAAGGACGCGGCCGACGCCGCCATTCCTGAGGATCTCAGGAAGCAGCGAGATGAGAAGAAGAAAGCCTTTCAAGATGCCAAGAATCAAAACGCTTCGCAGACTGCCCCTGCACAGGCCGCTCCAACCGCCAGCGCTGCTCCTGCTGAGCCCCCAAAGTTCTAAACCCTCTTCAACAACGTTGAACTCATGGAACGGACTAAAAGGACACCCATGGAGGAGTCCAAACTCCCCTTTTCATGGCCCGCTATCTGTGAACCGTGGGTTACGAGCGCAACTTTGCATTGGTCCTTTTAAAACCTGAAAGACGTCTCTTAGTTAGCAGATGGATAGTTGCGAGAGTTTCAGACGGCAGTGAGCAAGTTAATAACTGGTGTAATATACCTCGACGTTCGGGTATGTTTTGACATGTTGTACGGAGAGACGACTTGGAAAATTTGTTTTAAAAAGGCGTGTTAGCGACTAGTAGGTCTTGACGGCATTTGATGGGAGAAAAAGGAAGAAGAAAAAAACTCTTGAAAACTTTAAAAACTCAAAAAAAA